TAAATCAGGATGCCTGGGACAGAGCAGCTGGGGTGCTGCTGGGTTGCTCCAGTAGCGCTGCTCCTCGGCACTACTGGACCAACCCAGCAGCACCCATCTGCTCTGCCCCAGGCATCGTTTTCCAGCCACTGCTGAAACTGACCAGCAGCGGCGGAATCAGGACTCCTGGGGCAGAGTAGCTGGGGTGCTGCCAGGTTGGTCCAGTAGCGCCAAGGAGCGGCGCTGCGGGACCAACCCAGCAGCACCCCAGCTGCTCTGCCCCAGGCGTGTCCGATTCAGCCGCTGCTGGTCAGGTTCAACAGCGGCTGAATCTGGACGCCAGTTCCGACTTACATACAGATTCAACTTAAGAACAAACCTACGGTCCCTATCTTGTACGTAACCCGGGGACTGCCTGTATATGAACGCATATACTGTATATAGAGTGAAATGTGAACATATTTTATACATTTGTGGTATTTATATTAAATGTAAATTTTCACTGTAGGAAGTTTTAATTTGATAGTATGTCCAATTCTCTTCTTTCTAAAGCGATGGACTTGGGAAGAAGACAAGAAACTGAAGGATGGGGTAAAGAAGTTTGGAGTGGGAAATTGGAATAAAATTCTAATTCATTATGACTTCAACAACCGAACCAGTGTCATGTTAAAAGACAGATGGAGAACTATGATCAAGCAAGAGATTGTTTGCTTGGACAGTGAGAACTAAGTTTGATTCTTGCCCCATTTTTCCCATGTTTGAACATGTTTCATGTGTGGACATCTAGCTTTTCCCAATAACTTTGGTTGTAAAGTGACAGTTTGTGTTGCTATAACTTCCTATGTGAGTTTAATACAGTAATGTAAAACTAATGTTGAGCTCTCTGTGAATCTAAGTACTAGGAAAAGTAATGTGGTGATGTAATCTTAACTTTTTTCCTTTAGAATGTTTTACTCTTGCAGAGCAAAAGGTACTGTAGCTTGTTCTGATTGGGCAAAGTTAAGTCTCAAAACTAGTATCCTGAAAATGGAACCAGAAATATAAGGTATAAATCATCTATATAACCTCTCTTGCTTGATGACAGGAGAGATGTCATTTATCTGTGTTAGGTGAATGTGCTCACTTATGAAATGTAAATGTTTTACTTAATTTGTAATATTTTGTTAAATTAAAGATGTAAATAGAATGTAAAACCATAAGTTGTATTTGTAGCCTTATAAAGATATGATGCATATCTAAAGCAATTAGTGATAGCTGTACCGTAAAGGCTTGCTTCTGCAATTACTGTTGGTTTGTGTCATCAAAGAGAGCCAGATTAAGGTAGGTCATGCAGTATCAATGCGATGTTTTTGATCTCTGTCCAGCATTTCATTCCTGAGATCTTGGTCATAAGTGGCAGCTATACTTATTTATCTGCAGGTATGACTGCTCAAAAAATCTTGTCTTGCTAATTTAAGATAATGCTTTCCAAATTGTCTGAAAGAGGTGTTTTTTGTAGAAATACTTGCATTTATAAAGAAGTTTTTTTTAATAAAGATGGCAGTGTGAGGGACAATTATGCATTGTCAAATCTCTTGTTAAAAGAATTATAACTTAAGCTCTTGGAAAAGATGCCATTTTTAAAGTTACCTATCCTGTTACCACATCTGAAAATTATTCTTGGCTCTTCTTTCACAAAAGTGAAAATGTGGCGGGGTTGGACAGGACTGCAGAGTAATATTGTGATAGTAGCTAACAGTTGCAGGTTATTTAATCCTCTTGTGCTACATCTTTTTTTCCAATCTCTCCCCCAGTTGCTGCCTTGCATCTGATATGACTGTACCCAATCAGCATGTGAAAGGCTTGAGACCTATGGTTTGGTAGCCTGTTAACACAGGGCAGGTCACCTTGCATAGGGGATGATCTAGCTAGCCTAGAGGTTTGCTTCTGTATCTTCTCACTGTAAACCAGTAGTTCTCAAAGTGTGTTCTACGGGCCATTAGTGGTCTGCGGCCGCCTCCCAGGTGGTCCACAGCTCGAGCTAATCCCCACCCCCCACAGCAGGGAGAGTATTGGAACTCTAGCCTGGTGTCTGCCAAGCGCAGAACCCACCAGATCAGCTCAAAAGAGACAGAGCAGAACCATGCTGCATTTCTCACCTCCCTCCTGTGCAGCTCAGCTGGGGCAACAGTTGTATGATCAAGAGGCTTTCTGGGGGGGGGGGGGAGACAGTGTGAAGAAAGCCCCGACCCTGCAACAGCATCAAAATCAAGGTCTTTCCATGCAGGGGGAGGGAGTGGAGAGAGCCCTGATCCTGAGACAGCAGCACAATCAAGGGCTTTCCCCACAGGGAGGAGGAAAGGGGCAGAGAGTGTAAAGAGAGAGCAGAACAAGTGGCTGTGCTGCGTTTCTCGCCTCCCTGCTGCCCCAGTCACTGGGGAACACCAGGTAATGATGGGCTTTCCCTGTTGCTCTCATTGGCTGGAGTTGCAGCCAATGGGATCCCTGGGAGTCCATATTGGGACTCATGTGGGTGCAGAGCCAGGTAAGCAGCTCCCTCAAACCCAGACCCTGCACCCCAGTCACACACACACACACACACACACCCCCCAAGACCCCACTCTCCCAGCTTGCTTCTACACCAGGGCTGGCAAAAAATAACCTGCAGAACAGATGCAGCTCACGAGAGCTTCAGCCAGCTCCCTGCCTGCCCTGCCTCTGCTTGGCACTCTGGAAAGCTGGCTGCAGGGCCATGTGTGTGTTTCTTAACACTAAGAGCCTGGAGGGAGGAAGAAGAGGCTTCTTATGCTGCCCCTGTCTCCAGTAGCTCCCACTGGCCTGTTTCAGGCAATAGCAGCTGCCAATTTGCAGAACAGGCAGCATGGAAAGTGCCCCTCCTCCCTGTGGCTTACAGCATTCAGTTCAGAGAAATAAACATGCAGCTCCCCTGATCAGGTACAGGGACTGGAAGGCAGGGACCCTGGCTAAGGAACCTGCTGGGCTGCTGGCTGGGAACCAGGTAAGGTGTCTCAGCCAGAAATTCTGTGGCATCCTAGCCTATACCCTCCCCAACTCTCTTTTCCCCCTAACTCATGTACCCCAAACCTTCTGCACCATACATCTTTCCAGACACTGCTCTCCTCCTACGCCCCACCTCAGGTCACAGCCCCCTTCCAGATCTTGCACCTCCAGTCCACTGTCCCTGGTCACAGCCCAAAGCCCTGAACCCCCTCCAGCACTCTTGCCTCAGCTTACAACCCCCTCCCAGACCCTGCATTGTCTCCTACACCCCTCCCCTAGGCAGTCATGCTCCCCTTCCAGACCTTGGACCTCCTCCTTACCCTACTCTGTTGCCTCAGGATATGATTCCATCCTTCACCCAAACTCCCTCCCAGATTCCACAACCCAATCCCTTACCCCAAGCTCCCTTTTGCACCCAACCTCCATCCCAGATCCCTGCACCACCTCCATTAATAATGGAAGAGGGCAACCCTCGCACACTTCCAAATTCTTCTGAGTGGCCCCTACCCCAGCTCTGAACCATCTGTCCTGGCCAGACACCGTACTCCTGTGCCCTCCCCCCAGCCAGACAACCTACATTGAGCCCTCTCCTGCACCCTCCCTTGCTCTTGCTCCCTCCTCCCAGCCAGACACACTACCCCCAGCCTGCTTTTGCGCCCTATCTCCCACCCAAACCTCACATCCTGTACCCCATCCTCTGACCACATCCTGCACCCTCATCCCTATCCCACTCACTGGCAGCCCTCTCCTGCACGCTGAACCCCTCATTTTTGTCCCAAGAGCCTAAGTGGGTCCATGAAATCCACTAACTCTGAAAGCCAAGAAAAATAAATCTGGCCTATGGGATGCCCTGAACCTCAGTCCTCCCTAACCTTCCAGGGCTGGAGCACCAGAGGAATGAGATGTCTCAGTTGGAGGCCACATCAGTGACGGTTGGAGGAATTTTTATTTGCTTCTTTCTTGTTTGGTCCCTAACTGATATTTTTTTCCTGTGAATCAGTGGCCCATGACCCCAAAAAAGGTTTCCCACCCCAACATAAATAAAGAAAACGTGGGGGAACTTTTGTGTTGGACATAAATTAATATTTAAAATTAAGCATTTTAACTCATTAGTTTAATCAAACTTAATCTGTTTAATCATTTAAATTAAACCCTTCTTCCCTAGCTGCAGACTAGCCAAAATGGCTTGGGTGCAATTATGTAATTAATGGCGAGGTTCCATTAGCGACTGATGGTCTGTGGAAAGGTTTGCATTGACCCATGTGATCCATGGGCCAAAATGTTTGAGAACCATGGCTGTAAACTAGTGAAGATACATGAGCTTCCCTTCTGATGAGTTCCTTCAGCATGTTATTAGCTCATATGCAGAGAATGAGTGCTCCCTAAGCAGGACAGCATGGCAGCTATTGCTTAGTAGGGAGAATCAGGGATGTCTTCATACAGAATGCCAGAATCTCAAAGAGGCTTTGTAGAACAAAGATGTTTATTTTCTCTACCAGAATGTATTAAAAATTATTGTAGAACCATTACGTTGCTTTTTTAGCAGGGTTCTCAAATTCTCAGCCCATGGGTCAGTTCCCACCAGAGCGATTGTACAATCTGGCTGGGATGGTCTGTTACTGATCCCCACCCTGTCCCTTGAGGACACAGCTTCAGGGATCACTAAGAGGGCCGTTGGGCCATGCAGTGGCAGCGGTTGCCCTATGCCCTGCAGCAGCAGGAGCCACGGGGAAAGCGGAGCCAGCAGAGCAAGTGCCCCTGCCCAGTATGCTGTACTTCCCCATGGTTAAAATCACTTCAGAAGGATCAGGTTATGGAAAGGGGAGGGAGAGTAGCGTTTTGTCAAAACTGGCTTTATCTGTTCCCAAGTAACTATAACTTGAATGCTTATGCATCAGTATCCAACAGAGAAAGGACAGTATGGATTATTAGTTTGTCTGCTGTAGCCTGCATGATTGTAATTTAGGTATAAGTGCATTTGATAAATGTGATCAAGTCACAAAAGGTGCACACACTACACCATTATTTCGAGATAACTAGCATTGTTTTTGAAATAACAATGCAGGTGTCTACAGCACTATCCAGTTATTTCAAAATAATTTCAAAATAAAGGATGTCTTATTCCGGAATCTGTAAACTTCATTCTGCGAGAAATAACACCTATTATTATAGCTGTTTTGAAATGAGGTATGTGTAGATGCTCCACTGCTGCTATTTCGAAATAGTCCCTCACCAGGGCCATTTTAAGTTATTCCTCCCTAGTGCCTCCTGAGGCTCCAAATCAAGATAGCACATCTACGTTAGGTAAGCCTGCTTTGCACTAATGTTTAGGCTTCCCTGCAGTGCAGACATGCCATTTTGAAATAAGTTATTCCGGAATAGTTATTCCAAAATAGCTTATTTTGAAATACCTGTGTGGTGTAGACATACCCAAACTGAATAAAATCCACAGCAGTAGTATATACATGTGGAGCTTTAAAAGGCCCAGTTTCATAAAGCTGAAAACAATTATGAGCCTTATCATTGAGAGGAAGAACTTATTTTTAAAGTACTGTAAAAAGATAATTGGGAATTATTTTAAGACCACTTTACAGTATGTCCAGAAAGTCGCAATCAGGGAAGAGGGCCATGCCGGTTAAAAGCTGATTCAAAGGTGAAGTAAAAGCATCTTTTTTTTTAAAAAAGAGGGAATGCTGATAGTAATGTAAAAGTGTAAGAGAATCCTAGCAATAGCAGTGGTCCATTACTAGATTGAAATGGTAGAATTATCAATACTATTGCAGATAAGGCAGAAACTTTCAATTAAAAAAAACCTGACATAGTGCCACTAGTATCTCAGGATGATGCTAAAATGACATCTAGTACCATTAGACATATTTGAATCAGTAGGTCCGATTAACTTGAATCCAACAGTTTTAAAAGAGCTGGCTCAGGAGATCACTGAACCATTAATGTTGAATTTTCATTAAGTCTCAGAACACTGGGGCTACGTCTATACTGCATCTCTCTTCCACAAAAGCTAATGCAAATGACGTGTGGATTAACATATTGCCATGCTTCATTTGCATAGGTAATATGGGGCTGCTTTTGCACAAAAAGGAGCAGTGTAGAAAATGAGGAAGAACGGCTCTTGGCCAAGAGGGGGTTTTGCGCAAAAGGGAGCAGTTTACACAGCTCCTTTTTGCGGAAATGCCTCTTGCACAAAAGTGGCTTCTAATTAATTATGCAAATGAAGCACGGCCCTATGCTAATCCACAAAAGCTTATGCAAATGAAGTGTGGAAGAGAGGTGCAGTATAGACATAGCCAGAGTGGGTGAGTTTTAAAACACTGGAAGAAAGCTCATGTTATGCCAATATTCGAAAAGGATAAATGGGATCATCTAGGTAATTATAAGCCTGGTAGTGTGACATCAGTGTTGGATAAGGTAAGAATGGCTGCTACCAGACTCAATCAAGAATTAAATGAGGGTAGGATAATGCCAACCAAGGTTGGTTTCTGGAAAACAATGTCAAACTAATTTTTTGATGCAATTACACATTTGGTTCAGCGAAGTGACCTGTATGATGCTCTGCTTATGGATCTAAAAGACTATAAAATCAACCTGCTGCACATTAAATGGATTAAAAGCTGATTAATGATAGGTCTCCAAAAGCAATTGTAAATAGAAAAATTACTAGAAACACACCCATTTCATGGAGTGCTGCAGGGATCAGTTCTTGGCCCTATACTTGTTAATATGCTTTATTAGTGGCCTGGAAGAATTGCTGAAAAGTTTAAATTAAACAAACTGGGTCAGAACAAATAAGAGAAGAAGTCACTGATTCAGAGTGATCGGGATTGCTTAGTAAGGTAGACCCAAGCAAATAATGTGCATTTTAATAATATATATCTAGAAATCAAGGTAGAACTCTCAGGCAGACTCTCTACCTGCTATCTCCAAACACTGCTCAATGGAGCCAGCTGCTAAGGCCAGCCTGTGTCTTTCTATGCAACACGTTCCCCTTGAGGAGATGAGAGATCCACAGTGCCCTTGCCTCCAGAACAATCCTCACATCTCCCTTGGCCAGAAACTGGCCAAAGGGAGCTGCCTTCACTGTGCTTCCCTAAACAGGCAACTGGTGGAGTTCCCCCTTCCGTCATGGTGTGCACCAAACAGAAATGCACATGCTGATCCTAGTAGCCAGCTGCTTTGAATGGTGTGGGGGGGGGGGGAATGGCAGGCAGTGAGACTGGCTAAAAATCCCTCTGGGCTGCTGGCTGGGAGCCACCTACAGTAAACCCCTCTCAGCCAGAGCCTGCGGATTCCCCCCCCCCTTCATCCCTGCCCTAGGTCACAGACCCTTGCACCCCTGCCCTTGGTCTCAATTCCCAGACCCTGCACTCTCCCCCAGGTCAGAATCTACTGCATCCAAACTCCTTTTTGAACCCCACACCTCTTCCTGCATCATAATCCTTTCTCCAAGCTTCTTTCGGCACCCATTCCAGACCCTGCACCCATTCCAGACCCTTTGTTAATAAGTGTGGCCCTTGACCACTTAACAAATTCTTGGAGTGGTCTCAATAAAAATGTATTGCCCACTCCTGGCTTTATGATAAACTAAAGCAGGGGAGGGCAATAATTTTTTTATGGGGGGGGGCGTGTCATAAATTTTTGAAGTGGCCTCAGGCCTCACCAGACCTCCGGCAGAAGGGGCAGGTCCAGGATACTTCCCTGCTTCTCCATCCACAGATCATGATTGGTCTGGTGGGGGAGGAGCATGTGAAGTCTTTGCTTCCCCTCATCCCCCCCCCCCCCCTCTTCCCCCTAGGCGCCCATGCCCTGGTGGTGGGAGGAGACTTTGCGTGTTCCCTTTTTGCCTGCAGGCCAATCAGGACTTGAGGGCGGGTAGGGGAGTGTGCGAAGTTTCTTCTGACCCTGCCAGGAGCACATGATGCTTCTAAGTGCCACACGCTCTTTGCAGGGTGGAGGAAACTGCACTTCCCCCGCCCGCAGGTCCTGATTGGCCTGAGGGCAGGGGAGTGCCAGGGCCTCCGCTGGCTGGATCAACCCACTTGGCCCTTTTACCCACCCCAGAATTAAAGTGAGCTCCTTCAGACTAACAGAGAAGGTTAAAGGACATCTCTTTAGTCTCTGGGGCACGTCTATACTATACAGATAACAAACATTACTACAGTACATGACCTCAGGAGGGGTGTTGGAAGCCTCAGCCCTGCTGCCCTGGACAGGTGACTTATAATCTGAGCTTTGCCAGCCAGGGCTGAAGCCCTCATGCTTTGACTTCAGCCCTGGGCAACGAGGCTCAAGCTTTGGCTTCAGCTGTGTGCCTCAGCAAGTCCAAAACAGCATTAGTGACTCCATCAAAAGAGAGTTGAAACCCACTTTGGAGTCCAGACATTCAGAGGGAGAACCCCTGGCCCAGATAATCACAATGGCTTCCTTGGAGTCCTTGAATCTAAAACTAAAGAGAACCTATTGCATCAAGTGTCCGTGATTTCAGGAGTAGGCCAAACCTAAAGCAATAGGAGACTCGTCCTCCATAATATTACAGTAGTTAACCAGCTAAGACAGATGTTATATTGAAAGCAATCAGAAGAGAGACCTGCAATTCAGTCTTTATAAGTACTATTAGGGTATGTCTACATTTGCACCCTCTTTTGAGATAGGGATGCAAATGAAGACATTTGAAATTGCAAATGAAGCCGGGATTTAAATATCCTGCGCTTCATTTGCATAATTGCGTTATGGTGCTATTTTGAAATACAAAACGCAGTGTAGATGCGGTTATTTCGAGAGAACACTCTTCTTCCGAAATAACTGCTAACCCTTATTCCTCATAAAATGAGGTTTATTTCAGAAGAAGGGTGTTCTCAAGAAATAACCGCGTTTTGTATTTCGAAATAGCTCCAGAACGTGATTATGCAAATAAAGTGTGGGATATTTAAATCCTGGCTTCATTTGCAATTTCGAATGTCTTCATTTGCATCCCTCTATCGAAAGAGGGTGCAAGTGTAGACATACCCTTACAGTGGGAATGTGTCAGTTCTATAGTAGGACCAGATCTAGACCAATACTTAGTGCTTTTAAAAATCCTATTCAAAACTTTTAGCCAGTGAATAGTAGTTCAAGTACATTTTGTCACTTCACTGCTGTTATCCAGATAAAATTTTAATGAAAATGAGCATTTTTTTCTTTGAGATGGGTCAATCATCTGTGATATCACTATAGCAGAGACAATAGAACAATAAATCTAAATTTACACTGGTTTCTATGAAAGAATACTCCTTTTCAAGTCGGTCTATCATTAAGAATTTTCTGTAATTTGGTTACGATTGCTTTGTTAGCCTCATATGTCAAGAAATCCCTTTTGTAAGCAGTATTAAGTAAGCAGTATTAAGTCAGTGAGGCTTTCCATGCAAAAAAGGAAGTAAACTAGTTGAGTAGCTTTAATTTTTTTATATGAAGGTGGTTGCCTGCATTGGACAAGGAATACATACAGTACTAATCCACCTTCATTAAATGTTTATGTTCAGTACAATATAGCTGCCTTGACTTGTCTGATGAGAGACACAGCATTTGAACTGAGATGCAGTTCCTATATCCCATGGGGCAGATCTGTTCCTCTGATAGTGAAGAGTGCCTTGTTATCAATGAAGAGTTAACTGAAACTACTCATGTTCGAGACATTCAATCATTTTAATTTAAAAAGGGGGGGAATGTAGTGCATAGTGTATTCAGCAGTAGAAAGATCCATCTTCTTATCTGTAAAAGGCAGACAATCAGAAGAATTCCCAAAGTCTTTTTTTTTTTTTAAATTTGATTAAGAATCAGAAAGCAAGCACAGCAGAAAAATATCATTCTTGTGGCTTCACAGAGGGTTAAATGGATTTTAAAGATGTTCATAGAGGTTCTTCAAAATCCTCTTTCCAACTTTTATGTAAAAATAAAACTATGCACAACAGGACAGGAACATTGTTCCACTTGCCGAACTTTCTTCCATGTTCCTTGGCACCGATGATTACCAACAGCTTGCCATCGGAGAACTTTATTTCTGAAATGTGACCGAGAGTAAATGATTTTTTTAAAAGAAATAATGGAATGTGGGTTTTCAAATGCTTTCTTTGACCTATAAATTTAACTTTTACAACAGTGCTACATTGGATGCTTTTAGTAAATAACACTGACAGCTCAGACCGATTAAAATTGTTTTGCTTTGAAGGATAGATAAATTAATAAAATTAATCTTATTCCTTATAGTGTAAGTTTTCTGGAGCTTGTCCTTTCTCTGTACAATGCCTGGTGCAATAGGGCCTCATCTTCAGGATGTTTGAACACTACTTATAATATACATGTTGTTATAATGTAAAAATGGAAAAAATCCGTCCCAAATACCTGATGATTTTTAATCCCTGTCTGGTTAACCACATTGGGTATATGGAGTCTGACAGAGTAATGTGCCAACCTATAACTGCTAGGCTGTGTCTAGACTGGCAAGTTTTTCCGCAAAATCATCTGCTTTTGCGGAAAAACTTGCCAGCTGTCTACACTGGCCGCTTGAATTTCAGCAAGAACACTGACGGTCTCATGTAAGATCGTCAGTGTTCTTGCGGAAATACTGTGCTGCTCCCGTTCGGGCAAAAGCCCTCTTGCGCAAATCATTTGCACAAGAGGGCCAGTGTAAACAGCACAGTACTGTTTTCCGCAAAAAAACCCGATCGCAAAATGGCGATCGGGGCTTATTTGCAGAAAAGCGCATCTAGATTGGCCACGGATGCTTTTCCGCAAAAAGTGCTTTTGCGGAAAAGTGTCCTGCCAATCTAGACACGCTTTTCCAAAAATGCTTTTAACGGAAAACTTTTCCGTTAAAAGGATTTCCGGAAAATCATGCTAGTGTAGACATAGCCCTAGAGTTTGGGATTAAAATTCACATTACAGCACTCCCACTTTAAAAGGATGGTGGACCTACAGTATCATCAAGCTTTGTTCAGTACAGAAGCTGCCCCATTCCTCCTTTTTCATAGTACAAGCAAAAGTTTTAAAACTACTATACTTGGCTACATGACACTGGAGATATTAATGTACAAATAAAATGAGATGTTTAAAATTCTAATATACACTTGCTAAATACCTTGGCCCTGGTCTCAGCAGCCACTGTAAGTAAAGCATAAAGTTCTAACTGAATTGCAGCCTGGAAGAAGGGTTTCTTATAGGACAGAGCAGAATGGAGAAGTCATCTCAGCTACAGCAGCACACCAATGTGAGCTATTTCAGTTCAGCTTTTACATTTATATTTCACCATTTTGCTTCACTTTAGCCACTGCTTAAACTCTGAGTTTTCTTAAATTCCTGTGATCCAGTTGAATAGAAGGTATGTGAAATCAGAGCTCAGTGCTGTATGTTAAAACTATTATACAAGAGGCATTCAGACTCCTAACATTGAAATATAGCTTCCATCCCTTACCCATCAGCACCCAGGCCATCTCCAGAACAACGATGGTTGCCAGTATTCATAGCTGGAGGCTGGCAAGCTACACACACAGTATATCCCTCTCGTATATATTGCATCCAGCGGGCGTATGGCCGATTCTCCATGGTGCAATGGTGAGAGAGTGATTCAGTTTTAAATTCCACACAATATCTGTATGGGCATGGAGGGAAAAAAGTACCACTTTAACTGGGTTTAGTATTGATGAATATAACTTTGTCAGATGCAAGGATGTGAATCAATTTTATGCCATATCCAGGCATCTTATAAAAAGTATTAATAATACAGAGTTTAAACATCTCTTTCCTATGAGTCATTTGATGAACAGTGGCTAAGTTACAACCCCTTTCAGTGATACTCAAACTATGAACATTGGTTCTGACATTTTGTACATTATATCATGTTTGAACTGTGAATCAGCTTCTTAAATTAAGATGAAACACTTAATAAGGCTCCAGTCTCCCTATTTTCAGTCTGTTAACAGTAAAAGATAAAATTTGATGTATAACTATTTTCAGGATGCCTATTGGTTTCATTGGCCCAAGAAAATCATTAGGATAGAACACTGAAGACAGTAGCGGAGCTGAGTAGATAAAACCGATGAGCTAAATATTTGTACAGCTTCTGCCAAACAACCTTAATAGAGCAGCCTTTAGGACTGGGAACATTCAGCCAATTTTGTTTATGCAGCAATCTATGTATAACTTCTCAGGCTTCTCATAGTTTCAGATTTACTTAACTTTGTTTTAGCTTTATTTATTGATTTTTTTTAAGTAGTTACTCTAAAATTTTCCATGACCTCAATGAATGTCTAATTCAGGATAAAAGTTCCAGAGGAGTAGCAGTGTAAGTCTGTAACTGAAAAAACTTAAACAACGAGTAATCCTGCAGCACCTTAGAGACTAACCAAAAAATGTAGATGGTATCATGAGCATTTGTGAGCACAGCCCACTTATTCAGATGAATGGAGCAAAGGGTCCAGAGCTGCAAATAGACAGCAGAAAAGGAGGGGTGCTAATTCTGTCCACACACCTATACAAGTGACATCATCACAGAAGTAGCCACATAAGACACCACAGCGGCTCATATAACTACATCCGCAAATGTGATCTATGCCATCAAGTGCCAGCAATGCCCCTCTGCCATGTATATTGGCCAAACTGGACAGTCTCTATGACAAAGAATTAATGGACACAAATCAGATATTTGAAATGATAATACAGAAACCTATTGGGGAACATTGTAATTTGCCCAGGCACTCACTAATGGATCTAAAAGTGACAATATTATTACAGAGCAATTTCAAAAACCAGCCTGAGAGAGAAACTGCAGAACTTGGTTTTATTTACAAGCTTGACATCTTGAACCTTGGTCTGAACCAAAGACTTTACTTGGATGGGCTGCTACATTCAACACCCTAATGACATTAAGTTATGTATCGGGCAATTATAGTCCAATCTATTGGCCTCATTTAGCACAGACACTCTAATTAACCATTTTTTCCCCTTCACTTTCCCTCTTCATCCCCTCTGTCAATTTTTCCCCCTCTTTTATGATTTTCTGCTATTTATTTGCAGCTCTGGACCCCCTAGCTCCATTCATCTGAAGAAGTGGGCTGTGCCCACAAAAGCTCATAATACCATCTACATTTTTTGTTAGTCTCTAAGGTGCTGCAGGGCTACTCACTGTTTTTTAAGTTAATTCAGGATAGTTATCCAATAAAATAATGACAAAAAATAAGATGCAGTACAGGAGGAAAAGTAGATATGTAGTTATTTAGAACTGTGTGCTGCCCTTAAATTATTCCATATCAAATTAAATTTCTCTCTGTAGATAGATACTTTCTACTTAACAAGTTGATCCAAATGAACATGTGATAGATTACCCAGTTTCCTCTGTATCAGAAGACCATAATGGAGAGACAGCTCGCCTTTTTCTTTCCTTACTGTATTGAGAAGTAGTTATGAAAGCAGGAACTGAAGAGAGAAAATAGAATAAGAATACAACCTTTATGAAATGAGATGGACATCTAATCTATATTTTACTTATAGAATCAATTATGTTGTCTTTATTACAGAAATGATGTCTCATTAAAGATATCAGCGATGGAAGTCAGTGGTTTATTGAAAAAACTTTACAGCCTGAGCAAACTTCTATCCTTCAATTCTGAAATGAGGAATGAGTACAGTCTGATCTCAAAGCTGGAATGTGAAATATCTGGGTCAGATTGTGATCACCAATTTGTAACCTCATTTTTTTTTTAAGATCTCCATTTTATGTTATGTACTAACTGCCTAAAACAGGGGTGTCCAAACTTTTTTCAAAGAGGGCCAGATTTGATGAAGTGAACATGCGTGAGGGCCAACCATTTTGCCTGACATTCTTTGAACCATTAAAATTAAATGCAAATTAACTATTTTATGCAAAGTTTATTGCAAACGGCATACTTTTCATTTCGTCACATGGATGACAAATCTAAACAGGTGTTAAATCACTCTGCCTTTCATATCTGAAGGCCAGATGAAAAAAAAAATCCAGGAAGCTGAAATATATGTCAGGAACATTGTAAAGTACATTACATATTATTGGTAATAAAGGTTGTCTGTCAACTTTTAAGTTCAAAAAATATGAACAGGAACATAACACCAAGTATACATGTTGTGTCCAAATATATTTATAACTGATTTAGACCAACTGACTTTAACTGAGATTTTACAATGTATTCATCTCAATACATATGGATTCATTGGGGGCCATAAAAGATAGATATTGCCAAATTACCCGGGGGGCCGTATTAAACCAGAACACGGGCCGCAATTGGCCCGCGGGCTGGACTTTGGACATGCCTGGCCTAAAAGGATGGGGGGGAGGGGGCAGATCCACACAACAGAATAACTTTGTGGAGTAATCCACATCCCTAATCAACCTAGTTATGCTAAATGAAGCACCAGTATAGACTGCACTATGCAAGCAGGAGAGCCTCTCTCACTGACATAGCTACTGCCTCTTAGTGGATGTCTACACAGCAACACTATTTTGAAATAACTAGCATTATTTCAAAATAACTTAACTGCCTGCTGTGTAGACGTGGACTATTTCAAAATAATGTTGAAATACTGTCAAGCTGGAGGACTTCTGCTCTGACTTCTGTAATCCTCATTGTACAAGGAATAAGGGAAGGCACAGAAAGAGAGCTCTATTTCAAAGTGCTGTGCAGATGCTCCCAATTTTGAAATAAGCTATTTCAAAATAACCTACACAATTGATATAGCTCAATTTGTGTAGCTTATTTCAAGTTTAGCCTTGCTGAGTAGACACACCCTTAGGGAGCGGGATTAATTATGCCTACAGGAGAGCTCTCTCCAGTCAATATAGTGTCTTCATTAAAGTGCTACAGCAGCATATCTACTCTGATGCAATGTTTTAAGTGTCAACTTACCAGAAGTTATAAAGTATTTCAATCAGCTACTTGCCCAGGAAAAGTGCTTGACACATCACTGAAAAACAATCAAGAAAACCATCTGGGGCCATTGACTGCCTCTCAACCTTTGGCCCATCCACATGATCTGAAACAGCTAAGTTCCAGCGCAGAAACTTGGAGAGGGAAAGGGACAAAGCTGCCAGTGGCAATGTGGCCAAAAGAGAGTCTGTATTTGGGCTTGTCTACTTTTGTAGCACTCCAATGTGGACACTCCCTACAGCAATGGATGGGGTTTTTCCAGTTGGCATAGTTAATCCACTTTCCTCAGAGGCAGAATGCTTCTGTTGACCCTAATGTTATCTATATTGGAAGTTAAGTCTGTTTAACTACATTTCTCAATGGTATGTATTTGTATACACTTAAGCAACGTAAGTGAGTTATGTAACTTTTTAGTGTAGTCCTGGCCGCAGTTTCAGAGGCAATTCTTGTCTGAGTATGCAGAGGCCATCCATCACCATATGCAAGCACTGGCTGGAGAAAGAGGTAGGACTCTGACAAGACTTTTCACTTAGAAGAGGTGAGATCTCAGGACTTTTATTTTAGAAAGTTCTATACTTAACCAGTGTCTTTTATAATTATAGTGACTGGTTAAACAAAGCTAAAAAGAATTTTAGGTATACTGCCTCCACATTGGCCAGTGACCAATCCTTTGGCAGTAATGTGGGGAGGTCTGACATTACACATATTATTTATGAAAATATGCTTATCAATATGATATAATTGATGTACATTAGGCAAGATAATTTATGTAAGGTATCATTGGAAAGGTTAAGATTTACAGAATAAGATTTTCCTGTTTGTACACATGTACCATTTTTGTACCTGAATTTAGGAATAATGATTAATGCATCTGTATTTTATCTCTGCCATTTTGGGTGACACCCATTGCTAACATTTCTGGTACTACCATGGAAAAGCAAGACAGGCATGATAGCCCATCAGCAAGGACAATAAATTGTGAAAATGCTTAGCCTTCCTGCAGACATTCCATAGTGTCATTGATTCATGGAGACTGATGCCTCAGAGTCAGGTGCCCTGGTCACCTCAAGATAGCCTCCATCTTGATCTGCTGAACTGTTCCACTGGGAGGTAGGGAAATCAAACAAAGGATTACCGCCTTATGAAAATCTTGTATAAGGCAGGGAAGGAAAACAACCATGGCCTTCCCTCGCTTATCCCCTGCCTATCCAACCTAATGGGATACTTGAAAACAAAAGGACTCGAACTGAAGGAGGAGGAGAACCATTAGACCCAGGCTCGAAAGATACCTATGGTCTGTGAAGGACTCTACCTAAAACAGTATTTTGGGTGAGGAATTATTTGTAACCAATTTCTTTAGTGAATCTAGTTTAGACAGCATGTTTTGTATTATTTTCTTAGTAATCTCCTTTGTAGTTTGCCCCCTCTTCAACCACTTAAAATACACCTTTTGTAGTTAATAAATGTATATCATGTTTATGTAATTTGTAACTGGGAGGCAGGCAGGAAGTTGTGCATACCTTCCTCCACAGTGAGGGAGGAGTGAATGTCATATAATTTTGGATTTTTACTCCCAAGAGATGTTAACACTTGAGGCTGTGGCAAGTCCCTGAAACTGAGTCTCCCCAGAGCTGATCTCAATGTCTGTATCATTCTGGAGGTGGGTGCTTGGTGGCTGCATGTGTGCTTGGCTGGAAGAGGCTTGTGAGCCTGGCCCAGTAAGACCAGATAAAGGGGACCTAGAACAGACTGGTAAAAGGGGCTGGCAGAACAAGCTGAGACTAGGGGTGTATAAGCTCATCAGATGACATCCTAAGAAGGTCACACTTGCTTTCACATTGTACCAAAGGGGTTAAACAAGAAGTCAAAGGGTTCACAGCTAGACAGAACTCTGGAGGAGTGTGTGTGAGCAACTGAGGGCTTTTACTTAGCATACTTTCCAACATTCCCAGTGACCTGCTCCTGTGGAATGGGGAAGGGTTTGGTGCCACCCCTGAGGAATAACAGGTCCTAGTGGGGAGTTGCAGAGCAAGCCCATTTGCACTCACCCCACAGCAGCAGTTACTGTCTTAGGTGTCTGGCTTGGTTGACGCCCCACTCTAGGCATTGCGATCTGGTCCCTGGCACAAGTTTTTGCAGTGCTGTTAATACTTTAGCTGTATGAGGGAGCAACTGAGCCAAGTTTGAGTGAGTGCACTGTGGGACTAGAGTGACTGGACTTTGAAGTCCCATATCACAAAGAAGGCCTTGAAACAAGAGGAATATATCATAGATGCAGAACAGTGACTAGACTTGACCCAGACCCTGGAGGTTTTTCGCCTTCCTCTGTAGCATGGGGTACAGATTACAGCTGGAGGATTCTCTGCATCTTGGGGTCTTCAAAGTATTTGAAGGCTTCAATATCTGAGATATAGGTGAGGATTATTCTAGGAGGGGTGGGTGAGATTCTGTGGCCTGCACTGTGCAGGGGGTCAGACTAGATGATCATAATGGTCCCTTCTGACCTTAAAGTCTATGAGACCCAGGGGACTTTTGAGCATGTGATCCAGCATGTGGGTCCACTTACAACAAACTGATGACCATCTAGAAGGGACAGCAGGCCAAGATGTAACAGTCTCCATGCCCATTTAATCCTAGCAAACTGCCAATTATATCAACTGCAACTATTTCTCTATCTGTCTCTTTTTGGTGATGATCTACACACCTACTAAGTAGGAACTGGATTGACATAATTTCATTTCATATAAGCCACTAAATTGGCATCTGATACTAACAAATCATTCTTCCCATTTTTGTTTGAACAGCCACATGTGCAAATCAATTAATCACATGCCTGAATACCCAATTTGTTGCAAGAACACATGCACATTCATTTTGTTGGTGCACAGACTGGAAAAACCTTTGAAAGATTGCTTCTAATCTTCAAAGACAAAGAAACAGGAATTTAAACTTCCTTTGTATTTTCAATTCTGTTTCAAAGGCCTTCATTTGCTTCTGACTCTACTCTGTACTTTGCCATTACTCTGTACTTTGAAGTAGGAATAAGAGATCCTCCGGAATAGGGCTTTATTCTGGAGGATCGGGCCAGTCTAGACGCTTTTTTTCCGGCTTTTCCCCAAGCCGGAAAAAAAGCGGCGGACATGTTTATTTAAATCCGTGGGGGATATTTAAATCCCCCGCGGATTTCCCTATTCCCACTTTCAAAATTAGCATGCCCCTTCCGAAAAAGGGGCCAGTGTAGACGTAGCCCTACTGTTTGCATGTGTCTTGAGGGTTCTCTAATATGCCATAGAACAAGAATACAAGAGAAATGTCCTTCCAGAAAGATCCAGGCAAGAAGGGTTTAAAATGTCGTTCTTGTGGCCCTCCTGCAACCTTTTTGGCAGCAGGCTTTTTTTTTAACCCTCTTCCCATCCTCACTCACACACAGACTTCTTGCATGCATGTATCAGCCAGTCCTAAACCACAGGGTACATGCTTCTAAAGAAGACCCACATTCCAGCAACCCCCTATGGATTATAGATACCCACAGGACAAGTCCCTATAGACTTTAGGAGGAATTGGTCTTAGAAAGGACTACCAGAAGGTAAGGAGATGTCATCTGTTTAGGACTACCATAGCCCTTCTATCCTCAAGAGAGTCCTTTCATCTTGGAGCCATAACTAAGACAAACTGGGCTTCTGCTGCCTCCCTTGCAGAAGATCCTTATATCTCATAGCTAAGAAAATGTTTCTTCTTTAGTAAGGGAGTTTTGGTATTCTAGAGGCAAGAAAAGCTTTCTTCTTTATTTTGCCATTTTGAAGAATTTCCCAAAGGCAGTGAGCTAGATTTGGATCTGGATCAGCCAACTGTCTCTCATTATTAGAAAAACGAGAAGTCCTATGGCACCTTATAGACTAACAGATACATTGGAGCACAAGCTTTCGTGGGCAAACACCCACTTAGTCAGATTCACATAGAGGAAATTCCAGAAGCAGGTATATTTATACAGGCATAAGAAAAGAGTTCCAAAAGAGTAAGGCTAGAGATAACGAGGTCAATTCAGTCAGGGAGGATGAGGCCCACTTCTAGCAGCTGATGTGGAGGTGTTCATGTCAGCTGCTAGAATTGGGCCTCATTCTCCATGAATGAATTGACCTCGTTATCTCTAGCCTTACTCTTTTGGAACTCTTTTCTTATGCCTGTATAAATATACCTGCCTCTGGAATTTCCACTACGTGAATCTGACGAAGTGGGTCTTTTCCCACAAAAGTTTGTGCTCCAATGTATCTGCTAGTCTATAAGGTGCCATAGGACTTCTCAATGTTCTTGCAGATTCAGACTAACATGGTTACCCCCTCTAATTCTCGTTGTTAGAATACCCTCAGAAGATCACTTGAAAGTAATAGGGTTATTTGGTCATTCACATAACAAAAATGTTGTGGTCTCCAATAGAACAGCAAGACCCTATTTTCTTCCTAGAGCATCTCCTTGGGGTGATTTTGCTTCCCTCCCTCTCTGTTGGGAAGATGATGGAAATAAAGGTAGCACTTTCAATTCAACACCTATCCCAAGAACCTACTCAGACCCTGCAAGTACTGGGCACTGACTTCCATAAACTATGGCTGTCCCACCTGAAGGTGGATTTATTGGTGGCTTTCCTTTTCTAAGCTTTTTGTGACCCCATGGATAAGTAAGTGGAAGGGGCTGTTATTTAACAATGTATATGGGGATGGAACTCAGAATGCTACTATACTCTGTGCTTCATACTATTCTAGCATGGCCATCCCAATGGCTCATGTAGATCTGAGACAACAAAGCTTCAAGCTGCCCTTTATGGTATGTAGGAACCTCTTGAAGTACCTCATCTCAGCCGAATGCCCTCCACATGGATCAAGCTTCCATTTTTCCTTCAGAGACAACTTCTTGGGTGCTTCTACATGGGCTCAGAGACTTATCTAGAGCTGTCTCTGGGAGGAAGATATTTCCTGCAAGCTTTGTTTCCTCCATCTTCCCTTTTAGAGCTCCTGGATTTTGGAAACTGCCCTAATGAAAGAGGTCTTGGAGCAGCCAATAAAGAGTGACTTTTTGTGTTTGTGTCAGTACAAATGCTTAAAGGAACACATTGTAAGATGGATTTTAAAACTGTTGAGTGGCTTAAGTCAGGAAAGTGAAAGGAGTAGGGAGTTACAATTCTTTGAACAATTAACTCCTTGTAAACACTTCCAATAACACCCTCTGTCATTTAGGTGAAGTGCATACACCTTATATACATTGTTTCCTCTTTATTGGGTCTGATGCTGCAAGATGTTAGGAGCCTTTTATGAGACCATGTGAAAGATTCTGGACTACCCCTGAAATCCAAACCTTGCCCCATAGATGTAAGTAAATATTTGTCAGAAAGAACAAGCAGCTATGAAATAATATGAAAGTAAAAGATAAAGTTTTAAAAGGAAGGTCTGTGGAACTGAAGAAGAGCTCAGTAAAACTCTAAAGCTAGGTCCCATCCACCAACAGAAGTTGGTCCAGAAAAAGATATTCCTTCATTCACTTTGTATCTCTCAAAGTTTTAAAATGCATTTGTACTATGTAGCTTGTAACTGCAACTTATTATCATCAGTGCCTGGGGTGGGGAGAACCTATTATTAAGTAATGACAAAAGACATCAGGCAATTCAAATAAAGAGTGAGAGTACCGTGTTCATGTCCACAGTGCTGACCCTGGTAAGTCAGGTATTCCAGGCAGCCAGACTTTTCTTCAAGTGGGGGGCAAGGTTCCCCACCATTTTTAGGTTCCTGCTTCACATAGCGCCTACGCATTCGCAAATTAGGCTTACACTGCTCCGCACAGCCACTCCAGTGACTCCACTCTCCGACAATGCACGGAAGAGCTACAAAGCAATATTTGAATATTACTAGCAGTCAATATCAGTATCTTACAGTAGCACCCTCTAACAACTCTAGCATTAAGACCCTCTGGGGATGCCTTTACTGAGGTTTAAGACTAAACTTTTCCTTTGGGAAGATTATTCCATAATTGCCCACTTCAGGGTTTCTTTCATGTTTCTCTGAAACATTTACTGATGGTCATACTGAAGACACGATACTGGACTAGAAAGATCTGTGGTCTGATTTAGTGTGTCAATTCATGTATTCTTAATGTTGGTTTAAAGGATGAGAAAAATAAAACTTAAAACAGCAGAGTTAGGGGGTATCTGCTCTTCACTCATCTCTTTCCTTGGAGTTACTGGTTTCTCCTTAGAACCATTTGTAGACTTTTATTTCTAGAGAATCTTGCTGCTGGTAATTTATTCCCAAAAGGTATGTCTACACTACAGTCCACCGACCAGGGATAGCAGCTGAAGGTACAGATAGGAGAGGGAGGTACAGTGGGAGAAGACCACATCCTTCTCCCCTTCAGGTAATGTGGAGCGAGAAGAGAACAGCAGACCTCTACTGGGCATATGGTGGAGGGATCACTGGGCAGCGGAGACAGGTGAGGGGCAGAAGAACAGACATAGAATGTTAATGGCTTTAACTTTAGACTGCAGTCATTTTTCCCCTAGGTAAATAAATGCAGTACAAAAAGACTATAAGGCATACATGACAAGTAGAGAGTTAGTCTATGGGGTCATGCACAGGCCACAGGGGTAAGAATGTACACCTGAACATGGAAAGGGAATGGAATGTACTAAGTACAAAAGGATCTCTGTCTGCCGGAATCATTATTGTCCTTACAATATTTTCTGTATTTTGAGTACAAGATAATTTTTTTCACGCAGCCTTAATTAAAGCCCATGGAAGTCAATGGAAAGATTCCCATTGTCTTCCATGAACTTAGGACGAGAGCCATCTTCAATATTAATTTGCTTTCTCTGGGATTTTTTCAATTAAATTAGTATCCATTTCTCACCTAAGCACCAAGCCCTATGGAAACTGCATGCATACATCTAGGGGAAGAATTTGTCCCTTTGATTACAAAATGCAGTATTTATACTATGACACTACATAGGAGTTATTTTTCCTTTTTACTAACCGTTCTGTAGGGACAGTTCCATATGCATTAATATCTCAGTTTCCTTACAGCCTACATCTAGACTTCACTCAAAACCATTTTAAAATGTTCTTTTAACTGTATATTTTGGTATGATGATAGCACCTGCTTGTTCCATGTGCTGAGTAAAAACACATAGGCTACGTCTACACTGGCACCCTTTTCCGGAAATGCTTAAAATGGAACCGTTTTTCCGTTATAAGTATTTCTGGAAAAGCGCGTCTACATTGGCAGGATGCTTTTCCGGAAAAGCACTTTTTCCGGAAAAGCGTCCGTGCCAATGTGGACGTGTTTTTCCGCAAAAAAGCCCCGATCGTCATTTTCGCGATCGGGGCTTTTTTGCGGAAAAGACTACTGTGCTGTCTACACTGGCCCTTTTCTGGAACAGTTTTTCCGGAAAAGGACTTTTGCCCGAACAGGAGCAGCATAGTTTTTCTGGAAAAATAATGACGATTTTACATTAGATCATCATTGCTTTTCCGGAAAAGCAAGCAGCCAGTATAGACAGCTCGCAGCTTATTCCAGAAAAGTGGCTGCTTTTGCAGAATAAGTGGCCCAGTGTAGACACAGCCATCGTGAGAAACTGTCTGCCCTAACAATCTTACAGCCAAATAAAAAATGGACAAAAAGTAGCAGGGAACGGAGAACTGAAGTGCCTTACCCAAGGTCATCTTGGGCCACTGACACAGCTGGAATTAGAGCCCAAGTCGTCTAACTCCACTGGGATCTTTCAGCCTATCCACTAGTTTATGTTTCCTCCCAAAATACCATCAAATATCAAAATCAGTTTTCTGGTGCTGTTATTTTCTCAATAAAATTGTATTCAGGATTGTGTAATGGAAATGCCACTTCAGGAATTATTATAAAGCACTAGAAGATTTACCCCATTTTGCTCAGGTCCTTAAATCAATTAATTTTTTTTCTTAATTTAAATCATTTCTCTGGGATGAGGCTGGGAATGAGGGGTTCAATATGCAAGCTTCCTCAAGGAGAGAGGACTACCCCAGCCCTCTCTCATCTCAGTAGCTTGGGACCTCTCCATGGCTACTGCAGCTGCAGTGGGCACAGCCAGGGAAGGGGTGCATATCCCCAGCCTGGGATTGGTCCAGACTCATCTGCACCCTGTGCTCCCCAGACAATGAGGAATGCAGCAAACTGTGCACTTTTCCCTCATTCCCTGAAGAAGAGGAATGGCCAGCAATGATCCAGAACAAATTGGGGAGAGGAGCTTCAGCCCCCACATTCTCCCTAAAGGGCCTCTGGGGAGGTGGGAGGCTTAAGCCTGCAGCACTCCTGGATGGGGAGGAAGATGAGCCCCAAGCCAGCCCTGTTCACCTGCCTCATGATTCTGTCTCTTCTCTGTTTGGGGTTATGAGAAGCAATCCCATTCTGGGAATATCCTGTGTCCCTGGCACAACCAAACCCTTCAAGAACTTGCTCTAAGTTATGATACGAGGAAGCTGCATACTCAATTTGGTGGTCCTAGCACTTAGCATTTAGGAAGAGTTTTGAACAGACAGATACACATGGGCACAAACAAACTCAAATATATAGAAGATAATGGTAAGCATATTAGCATTACAGATTCTTACTGCTATGGAAATCTCTTAAATTGTTTAAAGTTTTAATATTGCCTGCATGACATTCTGCATGCTTTTGCTTATCTCTAAATACCTTTCATACTAAATTGTTCCTATTAGGCACTATAATGGAACTATAACATAAGTGGGTGTATATAACTGGTGAAAAAGGAAATATTATTAATCAAAAGAATTAAACTAAGTGCTTAAACTTTATAATTTTAATTTAACAAAATGTGTTTTAAATAAAGTAAAATATTAATTTATGTCCAAAAAAAGTTTTTAACATTGTCTTTATTTATGACAGGGATAGAGAACCTTTTTGGGGTTGAAGGCCACTGATCCACAAAAAAATCAGTCAGGAACTACACAAAAGTGAGAGGCAACCCCCCTCTCAAAAACCTCAACTCTTGCTGATGTATCCCCTCAACTGAGATACCTCACTCTCCTGGTGCTCCAGTCTCACGGGGAGTGTGGGGAAGGACCCAGGTTCAGAGCTTCCCATGGGTCAGATAAACTCTTTTTAGGTCCTGGGGTTAGTAGATTTTGTAAGCCCCCTAGGCTCTGGAGTGAAGCCAAAATGAGGGGTTCAGTGTGCAGAAGAGGACTGCCATGGAGTTGGCTAGGGATAGGGGAGCAGTAGGGGATGAGAGTGGGGAGGTCTGCATAGGAGATAGGGTGCTGAAATAGGCTGAGTGGGGGGTCTGGCTGCGAGTTTGGGTGCAGTAGAGGGTGAGGTCTGGCCAGGAGAGAGAGTGCAGGAGCAGGATGTAGGATATCTGGCCATAGGGGACAGTACAGAAGGACAGGAGGATGTAGTGAGTGGCCAGGAGGGAGTGTGTAGAAGCAAGGGAGGGTGCAGAGTCTGGCCGGGGGGAAGGTGCAGGACTAAGGAAAGGGAGTAGATTGGGGCTGCAGGCTCTCGGCAACAATGGGGGTGTGAGCGAGAGGGCTGAGGTTGTGGGGTCTGAGCATGAGAGGAATGGAGGGATGCTTACCTAGCTTTGCAACCTTGCTGCTCCCAGTCATCATGTCCCAGGCACAGCCTCCCACTGTTCCTGTTGGTGACAATTCTGGCCAGTGGGAGTAGCAGGGAAAACCTCCAGGCAGTTCATCCCTGTGCTGTTGTTCCCACAGCTGGGGGGAGGGAAAGCAGCAGCAAACGAAGCTGCTTGCTTTCCCCTGGAGCTGGATAGGGTGGTGAGACTCGGAGCTTTCTTCCTCCATCAGTCCTCCTCAGCGGGAAGCCAGCACTGGCACTCAAACTTCATTGGAGGGGTACAAGATTGGAGGGGCACCACAAAAAGTGAATGCATGCTTTTTCTGAGTTTCCATCTTGTGATTGGAGAGAAGCTGGAGGTATAGGCAATCATAGAATACTAGGACTGGAAGGGACCTCAAGAGGTCATCAAGTCCAGTCCCCTGCCCTCATGGCAGGATCCAGGACTGTCTAGACCATCCCTGATAGACATTTATCTAACCTACTCTTAAATATCTCCAGAGATGGAGATTCCACAACCTCCTTAGGCAATTTATTCCAGTGTTTAACCACCCTGACAGTTAGGATCTTTTTCCTAATGTCCAACCTAAACATCCCTTGCTGCAGTTTATGCCAATTGCTTCTTGTTCTATCCTCAGAGGCCAGGAAGAACAATTTTTCTCCCTCCTCCTTGTGACACCCTTTTATATACCTGAAAACCACAATCATGTCCCTTCTCAAGCTTCTCTTTTCCAAATTAAACAAACCCAGTTCTTTCAGTGTTCTTTCATAGGTCATGTTCTCTAGACCTTTAATCATTCTTTTTGCTCTTCTCTGGACCTTCTCCAATTTCTCTACATCTTTCTTGAAATGCGGTGCCCAGAACTGGACACAATACTCCAACTGAGGCCTAACCAGCACAGAGTAAAGCAGAAGAATGACTTCTTGTGTCTCGCTCAAACACACTTGTTAATGCATCCTAGAATCATGTTTGCTTTTTTTTTAACAGCGTCACACTGTTGACTCATATTTAGCTTGTGGTCCACTATCAGCTTGTGGTCCACTGTCAGCTTGTGGTCCACTGCTGACAGTGAGGTTTAAAGGCACTACAATGTGTCAGAATGGAGAGAACCTGGTGCATTCACCATCCGGAATGAGAATATGGATAAAAAAATTCCAAAGATGATGTCAGCTTTCTGAAAATAAATGAGCCCCTTTTCAATACACGATGTGGTGGTGCAGGGTTTTATTGGATTACATCCATTTTTCCAGTCCATATTCCCTTAACTTACTTGCTGGTAAGAATGTTGTAGGTGGCCGTATCAAAAGCTTTGTTAAAGCTGGCCCTGAGGGCTTTGGGAGGACCAAAACCAACGTATTTGCATATTTGTCATTTGCTTAATGAATATTCAAATGAATGTTATCGGTCCTCGGAAAGCTCGTGAATGGATTTACTGGTCCCCGTGTCAAAAAGTTTGGGAACCCCTGTCCTAGGTCCTTTTCTGCTGTACTCCTTCCTAGACAGTCACTTCCCATTCTGTATGTGTGAAACTGATTGTTCCTTCATAAGTGGAGTAGTTTGCATTTGTCCATATTAAACTTCATCCTGTTTACCTCAGTCCATTTCTCCAATTTGTCCAGATCATTTTGAATTATGACCCTATCCTCCAAAGTAGTTGCAACCCCTCCCAGCTTGGTATCATCTGCAAACTTAATAAGCGTACTCTCTATGCCGATATCTAAATTGTTGATGAAGATATTGAACAGAGCCGGTCCCAAAACAGACTCCTGTGGAACCGCACTTGTGATACCTTTCCAGCAGGATTGTGAACCGTTAATAACTACTCTCTGAGAACGGTTATCCAGCCAGTTATGCACCCACCTTATAGTAGCCCCATCTAAGTTGTATTTGCCTAGTTTATTGATAAGAATATCATTTTTTCCCCCAGTGCTTCATCTCTCTACATGCATCATCATGCTGCCCCGTGGGGTTTATAAAAGAGGAGGACACATATGTGGCATAACCTCCAACTATGCATCTATGGACATCACAGTGCAGAGGGTTGGTTCCCTTCCTCATATACAGGTAGGCATTGTAAATAGCCTGTAGAAACAAAGTAGCTATTACTAGATCTTCCTGAATAACAGCCACTTGCAAGAGCAACAGAATTTGCAAATAAATGTCCAGTTCCTTTTTTTTCCCCATGTGATAGTTGCTTCTTTCCTCTCTTTATATGGTCTATTACCACTCTCCACTCATTTTCTCTACATGAGCTTCAAATAATGCATCGCAACAGTGCAGTTATAGTATGAAAAGTGACTTTACAAAAATGGATCCTTCTTATTCAACAGATCTCTTTCCTGATAGTCCTAATTCTAATTTTATGAGACACAAAAAATAGAAGTTCACTATAGGGATGTTAGTGTATGTAAATGATTAACTGATAAGCCTGGACTTATTGGTTAAGCTCGATGACACACATTCCCCACCCACCTTGCTGTCCCTGTATCACAAGCACCAGATCCCACAGATCTGCCTCCCCCCCTCTCCACAGCTTGAAAGGTGTGGGGTCTAGTGGAAGCCAGTGCACACAGGAAGCCGGCTTTCAAGCCAGCTCACCATACTTATTGGCTTCCATGGAGCCACCTTCCCACCCCCACCCCACCTGCTGCATTGCTGCCTCTCTATCAAAGGCAGCAGCACGGGGCGGCTGGAGCTGGTGCCATGGGGAGCTGACTTTTAAGCATGCTGGCTCTGGGCTGCCTGGCCCCCCCCTTGCTCCCTCCCACAGAAGCAGTGTGTGGGGGGGAAGAGGGCAGCAGGCAGGAGCTGGTGCCGAGGGGGAGCTGGCTTAAAAGCTGGCTTCCCACAAGCACTGGCTTCTCAGAGCTGCCTCTCCTCCTCCCCCCCGCTGCACTGTTGCAGAGGAGGAGAATAGACGGGCAGGTGGGATGGTGTGCAGCCTCTGTCTGCAGCGGGCCGGGCTCCCTGCAGGGAGAGGC